ATGTATGGATGGGTGTGTGAATGTGAGGGTGTTCAACATTTGTTTGTATTGTATTATAAAAAATTTCAATAAAAATATATGGAAAAAAAAACAAAACAAGGTGAGTCCCAAAGAGCTATTAGCTAAAAACTTGGTATATCTCAGCATGGTGGGAATGCAGCGTGTCCTTCAAAATGATAGAAACTGGACAAATTATCTACAAGTATCTATAAGTCAAGCCCATAAGAAATAGTTAAAAAACATCCAGCAAAGACTTGACAAAGAGCATGAGAGATACATCGTGCGCTCCAGCTGATCCATCTACTGTTCAGTCTCACAAGAAATGGTCTCAGTGGCAGAGTGGCTGTCAAGAAGCCATTCTTATCAGTAAACCATCCTGCATTTCATCCAGTGGCGTTAGGAATCTTGTCAAAACATTATGTACGCAGAAAAGTACCAACAGATTTTGATCCATCATGCAACATCATCTGATTGGCAATAGTTTCATTTTTCAGGACGACAATGATTCCAAACGCAAAACCAATGCTGTAAAAGCATACTTGGATAGAAAAAACACACAATGGAACACTATCAGCCATGGCCTCAACAGAGCCTGGACCTCAACATTACTGAAGAAGTGAGGGGTCGTCATCAAAAGGCAGCCAACATCCAAAAAAGAATGTCCTTTAAGAAGCCTGGAGAACTCTTCCTGAGGACTACTTAAAGAAATGAGAAGAAAGCTTGGCTAAGAGAGTCCAGGCTATAAATAAAAAAAATAAAAGTGGTCACAACAGGCTTGAAAGTCAATGTGACTTTCAAGCCTGTTAGAATTGTACAAACTCAGTTTTTGCCTTATATCCTCTAATTCCATGTGTTTCCACCTATTTTCTGGAAAAATATAATTTGATGAGAGGTACCTTAGGACTTTTGCAGGGCATTATATTTTACAGAAAATAAGGAAAAAGCATAATGAAAGGCTAATAGCTCTACTTTATGATAGCTTACCGCATTACACGTAATAACATATTGATTTTAAAATGCCTGGGCTGGTGTCTGTGCTTCTTTCAAAACATATTGTGTTCTGTATCACAGTCTCTGCACAGCTCCACCTCACCTGAAGTCAATGGCACTCAGTCCAATCAGCATGCCAGTCAGCACTGTGGCCTCCTCTCTCAACATAATGGCACCATCATCATAGAACCTCCTGCCAAGTAAAGAGGTGATTATCACTTCCGAATTTCCGAGTATTTACGTTCATTTTCATAGGAGTAAAACCCTGTATATAGAACCGATGTTTCGTATTGAGATGCTGAATGTGAAGTGAAGGAAAACAGGACTGGGGATCATTTTAAAGCAAAGGTTTAGTTTAAATTAAGAATCCAGTCAAACCTTGTTGTTCTTGTGTCTCTGAGAGCAGTGGACACATATTCAGAGAGACGTTTCTCCATCAGCGCCACTCGAATCCACGCCCGGCCCTGTAGGACGACGTATTAGTGAGTGGGAACAGAGGACCTTTTCTCACACTCATCCGCACACAAACAGACACGCACACACACTAGAGTGCATACAAATCTCCTTGCCTTGGCTCGTGATGTGCTGATGTTCTCTATGTTTTCGATGCTGGCGATGCAGTTGTTCTGCACCTTGCTGCACGCCAGCCGGATGTATTCCCAGAAGCTGCGCTGTCCATCTGAGCTGAACCAGCTGCCAGAACCTGGTTTAATATTAAAACACACCAATCAATCATTTCTGTTCTGACAGCAAGTGAAACTAAAATATGCACCCACAGCAACAATCCAGCTGACTATGTAATCGCACACATTTTATGGCTTTTTAACGAGAACGCCTGCTGCATTTTTATTTCAAATATATTTCGACTGTTTCACAATGAAAGTCACATTAACTTTGTCCATCTTTCCTGTATGTTACCTGCAGTGTTACCTTTGAAGCGGTGGCTGAGGATGTGCTCCAAAATGGCAGCAAAGTTGATAAACTCCTCAGATGAGTCGTCTATGGGCTCTGCTGTGTACTTTTCGAGGAGAGTCTTTACGGAGAATCTGAAATAGAAGTGCACCGAGAAAGAAAAATTAGACAAATACTGCACACTTTGATGCACAATGTGTGAGGGGTTTGGACTCTTAGTTGGCTGTGCTGCACATGAAATGCAGTTGTGTACTGTAACCAAGCAGACAAATGTACTACTGTATTTGAACAACAGCTGAGAGGATTTTTTTTTCTTCTTTTTTTGGGAACTACGCCATCTTATCATACTGAGGTCACCCCAATTGTCTTGTGTACTGCACAATGTACCCCTTCAGTGCTTTGGCAGTGTTATCATGAAAACAATACAATTAACTCCCTGTCTTTACAGCCTTTGTGCGTGCTGTGCTTCCAGGTCCCTTTGGGTCTTGTCTCTCTGAGGGACCGACGAGCATGAAAGAATGATCAAATAATTCCCTCCCCCTTATCTATACATTGTGGTGTGATCTATTTAGGGCAGCTGCCGGAGCTTTAGCTTGGCTTTTGACCTCACATGCTCACCCCACCGCCTGCACCGCAGAAGGAACGCTATGCAGCGTGCATGTTAGGAGCGGGCATCCAGGCACAGGCTCGGGCGGGTTGCCTCGGCTTCGATGGGCAACACTAGCATCACAGAGGGCAAGACTGCCCTGGCAGTGGGAAAAACCTCCATAGCCAGGGGAAAGACTACAGTCTCCTTAGGCAACTCCTCCATCTTCAGGGGAGTGACCACCACCTCCATGGGAGATTCCACCATCCAAAGGCAAAAGACGACTGTGGCTCTGGGACGGGCCAGCTTCAGCCGGGGAACCACTACCACCTCCTTCCGTAAAGCCTTGACGTCCAAGCGGAGGAACACCTAAATGGAAAGGACCCCCAAAACCAGGGCTAAGACACCCAAAGCAGCCAAGCAGTCCAAAAAAGACTCTAACAATGAGTGGAAAACTACATTTTCGTCAAGCAAAACCTCCTTCACCAAAGGGAGGGTTTCTATCCTGAGGAATAAGTACACCATCTCCTGGGGTAAATACTCGATCTCCTGGAGCAGAACCACCACAATTTTGGGCAAAACCAGCATAGCAGTGGGCAATACCTCTGTTTCACGAGGAGAGACTACAAGCTCTCTCACCACCCTGACCTTCACCCATGGGACCAAGTCTGTGTCTGTGTTCAAAACCACTCTCGTCAGGGGCAAAGAAACGCATAGCAACATCTACTGGGATTTTCACACTTGAATCCTGCACATACTTAAAAACCAATGGATATATCTATATGGTCTGTTTTAGAAGGTCAGTAGTGATTCAAAAATCAATAAAAAGAGCTGCTATGTCTATGATGTGTATAAAAAAAAATGATAATGACCTGCAGATCTAATAGGTTCGCAATCAAAAGCGAGCCGTCCCATTCCCAAAGTAGCGCTGAGCATGTTATGCAAATGTGACATTGATGAAATGACGATTTATGGTGTGTTGACTTGGCAGGGAGGGGATGTGTGTGATGTATGTGGAGACAGAAGAGTATGTGTGTGCTCTTCATCAGCACTATTCTCCTGTATGTTGTGCATCAACACGTCCGCATCGTTGGTTTGAATGTGGTATTTTTTTCCGCTGATAAGACTGACTGATACTTCACATTTCCATAACTAAGCTCCCACACTGCAAATCCAGTTTTCACCCCCAAGACTGTAAAGGTTGATCGATGTAACAGTGCTTATAAAAGTAACATGTCTAAACACTGATGAGCTCGACTGTTTTGTATGTAGACATTTCAAGATCTGTAACACATTAAAGGGGAGGAAAATAAAAACTTTGCACGAGTTCAAAAAGTTCAGCGAGATTTCAAGTGGATAATAAACACCAACTGAAGGAACCACACCCATATTCCAAACGGAGGGACGGCACAAATCCAGAAGAGGTGCAATCAAAGCTTCACATACATACGGAGAACATGAGCACATTCAGCATCCCTTTCCTTTAAAACAACACGGTACAACTCATTTCACATATGGTGCATACAGTTGTACACAAAGGGAACATCTTACAATCACAGGCTATAGGGAACAATGGCTCAGAAGAAAGTGATGTCACCACAGACTGTCCTCTTTGCAACAATGTCTCCTTCAACCGTCCGGTGTCGTCGTGGCGCTGGGACAATCGCTTTACTGTCCCAGTCCCCCCAGATAGGCAGTGGCCACCTACGGCTGCCTCTGTCCATTCACAGGGACACATGGGTGGTATGTGGCCTTCCAAAGCCCACGTTGAAGAGCTCAACGAAGGCATTATGCGACACGGGGGTCGCACTATCCACGCTTAGCATTCTGGTCCACTCTGGATTGTAGCTGATGTTACTATTACTCCCGAGGGCTTGCAGAGCACAGAGTGCTGCATGAGTGTGCGATGCTTTGCGTCCAGTGAGTCCCGAACCCTGCCGTCGAATCTGGGTCAGGAAGACAAGCTTCTCCTCAATGGGCAACACCAGCTTCACGGAGGGGAAGACCGCCTTAACCCTGGGCAACACCACAATAAAGAGGGGGAAGACCAAGCTTGCCATGGGGAATTCTTCCATCACCCGGGGCAGGAGCACAACATCTCTGGGCTCCTCCACTATCACCAGTGGGAAAACCAAGATCTCGCTGGGCAGTGCGTCCTTCAGCAGAGGTACCACCAGCACCTCTTTTCGGAAAGCCATCTTCCCCAAACGCAAGACGCTCTAGATGAGAGAAGACGGCATCACGGGGTGGGGGGACTGACTCAAAATAAGAATCATCAGAGAGGACGTATGGATAACACGACGGAATCGGCACTGAGAGCAAAAACTGGATTAAATTTACTTTTCGAGCCTTGACTTTGTCAGGTCACTTTGGATTTATCAAAGAAACAGGTTAGTGGCATCTGAATTTTGTCTGATAAAATGTTTGAAAAACCATGTAGATCAGCAGATTAATGGATAATAGATCCAGAAAGTTAGGCTGAATCTCTTCAAGTGTGTTCTCTACTTCAGCTGGGCAGCTAAAACTGCTTTTGCTGAATAAAAAAAATCCACTTGGTGGGTATTGCCAAATAAGCACAAATACTGTGTGTTGGGACCGGTGGTGACAGCTACGATTTAGCTTCACAAAATAATCGGCTTCATACTACCTGATGTTGTCTAAAGGGATCCCATCAGGAAGAAAAGTTAGAAAATTAGAAATCTGTCAGAAATATGAGATAATGAGTGAACAGTAAATCATATTCACCCAAATTCACAGTACAATCCCTCTTTGTGATGCTCCCAAGTCAGAAAAATGCATTACATCAAATCTTTTCTCACTGTGCAGAGCCTAGATGCCATGGAAACCCAAGCGGTGGGTCTGGACGCTCAGTATACGAACCAACATGTAACAGCTTCTTGTTAGCAAAAGTTACAGCATTTAAAATCATCAAAACAAAATATCAACAGCTGCAAAAAACCTGTCTGACCTAATAATGCGAGAGCAACGTCATCTTAACAGGAATATTATAACAGATGATTGTAAATGAACTGAAGTCCTTTGATCTGAAGGGGAATCTCTGGCGTGCCTCAAATGCAAATGGATGGAGTGGAATAGCAACATGTTCTTGGTACGATTTGACACTGAAAAACAACTGCAGGGCCTTCTGACAAGCTTCTTTTGTGCAACCTCTCACTCAGCCTGGATCAATGCCAAGCACACTCTCAACTCTTGTTAAATGCCCTCTTGTTCTCCTTTCTCACCCCTCTACTGTACTTACAAACTTGCGTTTGATCCGCAGCACGACACGGGATAACCAAAACTGCATTCATCAGCAAAGATGTCTAACCTAAAAACACAACGCTTCACATTAACTTTCTCGACTTTCATTTTTATTTACAAGCATTTCCCTGACTACTTTCTCTGTCTTCTTATTTCTGTCTCTGTCTTCTAGCCTTGGCATAACCAGCAGGATCAGATGACACAGGTGAACTCCTCACTGGCCGAAGCATTGCACAACGCCAGCCAGTGCTGTGTTTATCATCGTGGACTGTCGGGGGAGGCGTCCTGCACTGGACTGGCATGAGAAAGAAAAGGCTTTGTGCTCTGAAGAATATTTCAAATCACAATTTGGGCCAAATCCTCAATGACAAAAAAAAAAAAAAAAAAAAAGTAAAACAAGAAACCACACACACACAAAAAAACAAACAACTACAGCAGGGTGTGTCTCTCTCTCACCGATCCCCTCTGTGACCAAGTGTCCAGGAAGTGTTTCATGGTCAGAGGAGGTGTAGAGGGATCACAGCGTACGACGGACAGTGAGGGTGTTGAGAAGCACAGAGAGTGTGAATCAGATATTTGAGTATGACAGAGGGGTAAAAATGAGGAATAACAGGAGACGTTAACAGTGAGAGTGTAGACAGATCAGCTGATGAGTGGTGTCCAAGTGTTCAGCCAAACTTTTAGACATTTCTGCTGTAATTTCAAATACTTGACGGTGTGGGTAAGGAAAAAAAAAATTTAAAAAGAAAAGAAAAAAGCGTAGGATCAGAAATCAGGAAAAATGCAAAAGAAGGCTGCACGGAAGCTGAACGATTAAAATTAGTGTTACTCCATCTGCACACGTAGATTCAAATATTCGTTGACTCTCTTGCCGATGCACGTCTAACAGGCGTGCTTTACTACAGTTCAGAACATTTTATTCTCTTCTCTTGAGCCACGCCCCAGGAGGCCTCAGAGCTCAGCCAACATGCAGCACGTCGCCCTCCCTTCTTGCCTCTCTCCCAGCTCTCTTTGTTTACAGGAAGCGGCTGCACGGATACCTCTTCACATCAGACTTGTCTCACTCATCTTATCTATTTCTTTCTCAGGTTCACCACGTCTACAGTAGCACCGTTTCTCCTGTCACGGACCGCAGCAAGAGAGCTCTTAGCCAGACTAAAAAAAGCAGCAAAACATTCAATTTTAAACATTAATGGATGGAAAGCGCCCTTAAAAACAAACCAACACAAGCCGGTTGGTTTGCTTCCTCTGAAACCCAAACATTTTGTCAAACTGAGCTCAGATAAACAACGCTAATCCGAGAGTTGCACGAATGTCCTCCACTCGCTGCAAAAAGCCACATTTAGATGAACCCTGTTGCTACTGACAACAGTCCAACTCAGTATGTCACTGATACCACTGTGAATGTCATAAATATCAACTCTCTACGTGGCCCTATATAAATTTTTGGGGTTTTCAGATACTTTTTGGGATGTCTGGCAATTCAAAAGTCCCCCTAACCTAAAAAGAAGGAGCATTCTTCTTACTTACTATTTAGAATAGCCATCTCTTATTATTTTTCTCTGTTGTTATTCTTTTTTTGTCCATTCTTTTCTCTGTAGATACAGCACGTCTCATTAAAATAGGATTGGTCTGTTAGGTATGACACTGAAACACTGAGCAAAGATCAGTCAGATTTCTGTGGCTGGTACTCGTGACCCACATCATGCCAGATCAAGTGTACACACTTTTAACCGGGACTTTGATGCCAACACATTAAAGGAATTGTTGGGAGTAGAAATGTTAATCTCTGCGTGTGCTGACTGTATGTTAAACATGTATGATGTTGCAGTAAGAAAAAAAAGAGGGCAGACTTTATATATGCAGTAAATGCACACACACACACACACACTTAGGGTAAATAATAGCTTGGCCTGGTGAACTAATTAAGCACTAATGTCACAAACTCAGCTGTGAGAATGGCTGCATCTCAACAACCGCGACAGAGCCTGGATCCTGAATCGTGCAACACGATGCCCTGCCTGCACTAATGCACAGCCAGAGGGACGGTGCTGATTCAGGCTCTCTCCTCATTATCCGATCAGCGAGCAGCCTGTGAATCAGCTCTGACCTGAACAACATGAAAAAGGTCCAAAACACCATGAGCAGGGAGATCGGGCAGCAACTTGGACATGCCAAGAAGAAACTGCCCTCGAAGTGAACCTAATCAATGTCATGTTGTTCATTAGAAAATGGAGAAAAGTTGTTGTAGTAAGCATTACTGATGGAAAGCTGTTTGAGATTTATTTCTGTCTTGTCCAGTTTGTTTGTCTTTAAAACGCTTAAATGATTAAATCTGTCTTAGCGCGGTCAGGAGAAACTGAAAACAAAGGTGTTTTTGTGTCCCTGCTAATCCTTGTCTGTGTCCACTGTGAGAACTTTTCTTTCTTTGCATGCATGCTCTCTGTGATGTTGTGTGTTTTTGCCTCACTGTACATGCCACTAAAACGCAGGCAGGACCTTCGATATAAAGGTACTGGAATAAAAATGCTTGACTGTGAGTCCATGTTGGAGTCCCTTTCTGTTTTGATTGGTGGTTTCTAGCACTACGGTGCAATAAATTACAAGAAATACAGCAGAGCTCAGACGCATGATCCCACTTTTATGAACGCTTTTTATGATTATAGTCAATTTGCAATTCAAGATGAGGAGTAGTACTATAGTAAATTTCATGAGAGCACAACAACATGATCAAAGCAGCATTTTCCTGCCAGTCTCTGTGGATATCACATAATTAACTAACACTCCAAAAGTAGGATAAGGTCACTATAACCTAGTTATGTCAGAGAAAGGAAAATAATCAGAAACATATTTTTACAAAATGGGTAGTTCAAGTTATTTTAAGGCAAAAAAACATCTGAGATGTGGATATTTGTGGCATTTTTCTAGACTTGTACAGTATTAGGTTGTCCATCTTTGGGATGCGATGATTATTTGTGCAAAAGACGTTTGAGGAAAAAAGCACCTAGGCCTCTGAGAACTTGTGATAACATGGTCCAAAAGCTAATTAGCCTTCAGTGAAATGAGCAGAGTCACTTTTACATCAGGGATGCCTAATTTGTAAGGTTACAAAATTAATGCAAGGAGGTCATGAAGTGCTGAGAAAAGAGAAAAGAAAAAAAAAAAGATTTCTGGGCTATTTTTAATAGTCTTGCTACATTTATTGTTTCTATATGAATATAAACATTGGTCTCACGTGGAAGCATGCAAATTAGAGCCTCTGGTCAAAAAGGATGGAAGCTGTTAAAGCTCTAAATATCACACGTGATGTAATAATGTGCAGACTGGAACCAGGAGGGTGTTACATTATTGTATTAACTGGACTTACTGTGCAGCTGAAGAGCTCTCGTTGTGTGAGCTGTCAGCTCACACATTTACAGTGCTAACCTCACTGCAGAAGACAGTGATTTATTAGAGCCAATCAGTTAGAGGCCATCTCTAGGCTGGATGGAGAAGGATGGAGGGCCCCTGATGTGGGGAGGAGTCCTTGCACTGCTCCAAATGCCCTTGTCCAATTCAGGCACTGAAGCTCAGCATGATGGAGGAGGAGACCTGCTGCTGACTGGCTTATCTTCCCTTCATCCCTATTCTGCAATTGATTCTGCAACACTCATCACTTGAATCACTTGAAGCTGCATTTCCTGCTATAGAAACAAACACGCCAACACGGGGACTGTACTTTTAAACGACAGACAGAATTAATAGATTAACATCATAGCAAAAAAAGAAAGAAAAAAGCCCTGCAAGCCGTAAACGAGCATTTAAAAACAAACCCTGGATAATTGAGTGGTTTCTTTAGTCTACTAAGTACTGTCTCTATTAAACTGGGTGTGATGACAGAAGGTACGTGAAGGTGAACACGCACCTGCCCCCTCCTTAACCCTCGCCTTTCTAGAAATGTGGCCCCTTTTTTCTGTAATATTTTCCATTTATGTTGCTGCCATTGTTTCACTTTGGGAATGAGCGCAGGGGTGGAATTCTTGGATGAAAAAAAACCTTCATAATGAGCATACTGGTGAAATTATAACCCGAACAGCTTGCAAGGACAGGCTTCTACTGGTAAATACGGCACGTCGATGGTGTCGTGATGTATACCTGCAGACCGTGATGAGGTTTTTTCGCTCCACGCAGACGCTCCGAGCAGACGCCTTTTTCGATGTCAGACCCATAGCCATTGCTGTCTGAATACAGCCCGACTCCATCCAGCGGCGGCCCCGGGGCCTCTTCGGGATTCGTGCCCAGGCCAGGACCGCTCCCTCCGCGGGCCCTGAGTCCTACAAACACCCGCCGTCCTCTGCGGGGAGTCACGGATGCTGCTACAGTCGCTGCTGGAAGAGGAGGAGGACGGGATCTAAGCGACTAGAACCAAGTTACACGTATTTATCAGTGCACATTCCGGTTAAAACTTTCAAAATAAAACCATCTTCCCGTTTTCATCACAGATTCATGAATTATACTGAAATTTCCAGTCTTCCGGTGTCAGGCAAAAAAAGTGATTGCTGATGTTTTTATGTGTTTGTATGCGTTATATCTTGCCTTACATTGGTAGGTAGGCTAGGGCCAACAGAATCTTCAAAGGGCTAAATATAAAATAAAGAAATTAACTTTTTTGCAAGTATCTCGACTCTGCGTTATTGTAGCTACTCTGTGTCCTGCATTATAATCAATCCAGTCCTTTTTTTGCTGCTTAAAATATCTTTATACAACTGTTCTTTTACATTTGTTGTAATTCCTAAAGCCCTCTTTGACCAAACATGTTTTGAAAAAGATATTTTTAATATCAGTTAGACTTTTTACCTGGAAAAATAAAGGAAGTCACTGTCTAAGAGTAACTTAGCCAATTACTTCCTGCAGTTCCTACCTTGTGTCTGAAGGTGTCAGAAACTTTTGCAATTTATTTGATAGATTATAGACCAACAAGTCATTTAAAACAGTTTAAATAATTATAACTTCTTGATAAGTATCTAAATCCCCCCTTTGGCAGACGAACGTGTTCTGGTACAGCTCTAAAAACATTACAGCACTTCACAGCGTTATAAAGATTTCCAAGACATAACTTAAATTCTCATGAATTATTTTTAAATATAAAATAGGTAAATATCATTGAGCAACCTTTAATTGACTGGCTCGCAAAAATTGCAGCCACTTTCTCACTGAAGTATCATTGTTGTCTTTTTAAATCTAACTTCACAATGCCTGAGTAAATGGACAGGTGTGATTCTCCTTTTGGCCAGTACAGGGACTAACTTAATATGACTCCTAGACACTAGAGGGTGCTGTGGCGAGAGCAGATATTTACAAAACAGAGTCAAGATGGCGGAATCAGAGGAGCCTCGGGAGGGATCTTGCACTTTTCTGTTTAAGAAATCTAATAGGAAATTCTCTGGGCGAAAGAGAAAAGCAAGCGATAGCGAGAAAGGTTTGTTATTTAACTCACTTTCTGATCATTTAAAGTCCAGTGAACTTCCGGTGCCGACAGCGCTCGAGCTTTTTAATGATCGACTACTTGGTTCTGTTCTAGTAGTCCTTTACAGATAACCACTGTGTTATTAACACGGGAAGAGTCAAAAATACTATATCTGATTCCAAAAATCGATGTAAAGTGCCGCAGATGACACATTTTTTGTTCCTGTTATAAACAAATTTCACATTCGTGCCTCGTTTACGTTTCCTCGGAATTTGGAACACTAGATGCGCCTGCTGTTTTTTGTCCTCCCAGTTAACTCCGAGATTATTCTAAGATTTTTGCAAGTCTGTTGTCAGTTATAGGGCAAGTTACTAGATTTTTTTCACCAAATGTATCTCACTCATGTCCTTTTCAGATGAAAACAGTGATGAGGACCAGACCCTCGTTGTGAGAAAAGAAAAGAAAGAAACTCGCGTCAACCCAATGATTCAGAGGGTAATTAGTGGATTATAACTTTTTTTATTATTTATATTTTTTGACACGTGTTTGTCGAGAATTGCGTTTTTCTGTCTTAATCACTGTGTACCTCAACGTGCACTGGAAACGGCAAGTATGTATCCAGAATCAGCTGGCACAAAGTTAGATTTGCAAAAGTCTAAATCTGCATTTAGATTTACAAGAGTACTAAAGTATTTAAAAGTGTGTTATGTTAATGCATATATAGATTTTTTTTTTTTACATTTAGAATTTGGACAAACGTTTTTATACACTTGCAAACCTGATATTTTGAAAAAGTTTATAAATCTAATCATGCAAACACACATTTGCAGACAAGACTGCTATGACAGTAGCCTCAAATGAGACAGAGGTGACTGTTTTTGTTTTGGGTTTTTTGTCCAGACAAAGAAAGTGGAGAGAGATGCTGTATCATCCAGTGAAAGTGAAGACGAGAAAGAAGACAAGAAGGTGACTGTTTCCTACAAGTCCACACGATCAGCGGTGAGTTGACTTTTTCTATCATACTGACTTTTTAAAGGCTGTCCTTTAAAAGTAAAGGAAGATATGAATGAGCAAGGTATCCAACCTTTTTGTTGTTTCATCTGTATGCATGCTGATTTGGCCTCTTCTGATTTGCCTTGTGTGTGTGTGTTCCCTGTCCTGTATACTGCTTAAGAGCCACAGTCTTGCAAACTTATTGATGTGCTTATATAAAAGTATTTAATGTAAATCTTTTTCCCAATCCTATCCAAAAACAAGAAACCAGAGGGACCGGAGGACATGGGTGCAACTGCTACATATCAGCTGGACACAGAGAAAGACAAAGATGCCCAGGCCATTTTTGAAAGGAGTCAGAAAATCCAAGAGGTAGTAGATGCTATTTTTAATGTTAAAACCTTGTAGAAAAGGCTACAACTCCTATCATATAATGACTTAGTTGGAAAACTGTTCTGTTCATATTCACAAATTGTGACTTGAGTGCTAAAATAAAATTTAAAAAAAGTCCAGTAGTTTCAACTAAATCTTGAACTAATGTTCTTTTTTTTTCTCTTGTAATAGGAACTGACAGGTAAAGATGATGATAAAATCTACCGTGGCATCAACAACTACCAAAAATTCATCAAGCCTAAAGACACAACTATGGGCAATGCCTCCTCTGGCATGGTCAGGTGAGCATTAAGGCGAGGCTTATCCATTCCATCACAGTCACATTGTGTCATTAAAAAAAATAAAAGTAAACAGAACACCAAATGCACTTGTCTTGTGGATGTGTGTATCATTAAAACTGCTAATAAACCACAAAGACAAAGGAAATCTTGAGCTTTTTAAGGGGCTTGAAATAGACATTAAATAATGCTCCATCTGCTCAAGACTTTCTATGATGGTGCATGGTTGATGATCTATCACTGATGCAGTTTTGGGGGGTTTTTTTTTAGTTCTGAAAATGTAATTAGTTAATACTGATATGTATAATTCAGTTCAATCATTTTAACAGAAAAGGACCAATCAGAGCCCCTGAACACCTGCGAGCCACAGTCAGGTGGGACTACCAGCCAGATATCTGCAAAGACTACAAGGAGACTGGTTTCTGTGGTTTTGGAGGTGGGTATGATATTTTAAAATACATGTATTTTGTATAATTAATCAAACACTTTTCATTTTAATGTCTTGACACTTCCCTCCATCTATTGAGGAAGAAAAACAACTCAGATTAAATGTTATGTGTTAAATGGGACAAATGTAAGTAAAACCTCCCACTAGTTAGAACAACGTACACTCATTGGCCACTTCAGTAGGTGTATCTGTTCAACTGCTTGTCGGTTCAAAAATCTATTCAGCCACATAGAAGCAGGCAAGAAATTTGGTTTATGTGACTCAAATGTGGCAAATGTGGCAGACAAGCTGATCTTGAGTATTTCAGAAAATGTGGATGCACTGGAATTTTCCCACATAGCCACCGGGTTAGGGTTTACAGAAACTGGTCCATAATATTAGGTGAGCTGCAGTTCTCCAGGTGAACTTCCCTTTTTGATGGCAGAAATCAGAGATTGTTCTGACTGCTTGAGCTGATAGGAAGGCAACAGTAATTTAAATGACCACACATTACGCAGAAGAGCATCTCTGAATGGACAACTGTTAAACCTTGATGCAGATGGAGGTTCAGCAACAGAAGACCACACTGGGTTGAACTGGTGGCAGCTAAGAACAGAAAACTGAAGCTACAGTTCACACAGGCTCACTCTAACTGGACGATAGAAAAATCTTGTCTTGTATCAACAGTTCATGCTGCTGCTGCTGGTGTAATATTGTTGGGAAACATTTTCTTGGCACACTTTGGGTCCCTTAGTACAAGTTGAGTTTGGTTTAAATGCCACAGCATATATGAGTATTGTTGCTGACCATGTCATACTCTTAATGACCACAGCACATCTTCAGACAATAATGAAACGTCACAAAGCTCATATCCTCTCAAACAGGTTTCTTATACATGACATTGAACTCACTGGTCTGCATTTATAAGAGCTCAGTCCAAGAAAACACTTTTAACATGTGATGTAATGGGAGAACATAAGAATTTGGATTTTTCAGGACGTCAAACCATTTTGTTTAAAAGAAGTCACTATGACAAAAAGGAAAATTCACAAAAACGACAGAAAATCAGGGAAAAATTAGTGGCAATAATATCAAATTCCCTTACAACTTTGTTTTTATTGGGGTATTGTTTTTGTTTTGTGGGAAATTAAACTATTACGTGTATAAATGTATCAGGTGGCACAAGTCTGACTGCAACTGCCAAATCCTTGGAAAACCTTTGGCAGAATACACTTTTTTGGGTGGTTTTCATAAAACCTTGTTTTTTCTTAAGACCTTTTTTCATTGTGATTGAGTTGTGTTTTTTATTCTATTTATCTATAAATAAGAGCAATTTGTAGTGTGTGTGAAACATTTAAGAAAATACTGGTCGTTCAATAAAGCTTTCCTTATGATCATCTCTCCTGCTATCAGACAGCTGCAAGTTTCTTCACGACAGATCAGACTACAAACATGGCTGGCAGATTGAGAGAGAACTGGAAGAGGGACGATATGGAGCCAATGGTGAGTTGAGAAGGAACTGCATTTTTGTTGCTACTGTAAAAGAGCTTTTCCTGAACGCTGTCTTATTGTTATTTAGATGAAGAGAACTATGAAGTAAGCAGTGATGAGGAAGACTTGCCCTTCAAGTGCTTCATCTGCCGGGAATCCTATAAGAATCCCGTCGTCACAAAGTAAGACTTTAATGTCATTTTTTCCATTGCCAAGCTGTTCCCTGTTTTTTGAAACATATTAACAAGTCTAATGTCTCTCAGGTGCAGGCACTTTTTTTGTGAGGTTTGTGCACTTCAGCATTACCGCAAGTCCAAGCGCTGTTATGTGTGCGATACTCAAACCCATGGAGTGTTCAATCCTGCTAAAGGTAGGCAAGATCTCTATAAAACAGACGACTTCTTTTAATGTCTTGATTGTCCTTTCTGCATCCTTGGGTCAGCTCAGTTACGAGTGAAATCAATTTTGGCATTAGACTTTGAGTGAAGGAGTCCATGCAGATGTGTGTTTGCCTGCTTTTTGTCACTGCGCACTCGGGTGTGGAGAATTTACATAAAAATGCATCAACTGTTTATGCGACGGGCTTCAAAGTATAACAGCAATGATTACTCGGCCACCAGGTTTCCAGCTGTCTTTGACCGCAATAAGTATAATCAAGGTTATAAGATAGTATTGTAATCAGTGCAACTTAATAATACCCATTAATCATGTTTTATTTTACCTTTTCCCCTCTCAGAGTTGATGGCTAAGCTGGAGAAGCACAATGCCATGACAGACCAACCACCATCCGATGAAGAAAATTAGCAAAATCCAAACATTTCCAGCCTCCCCTTACGTGTTTGTCTGTGTAAAATTGAAATAAAACATTTTTAATAAGGTTTACAGCCTCACTGTGTGGTGCCATCAAAATAAAAAGTTAATGTCAACCACGTTTATTGTTAAAAGTCAAGTTTGAGTTTTGCAACACATTGCTTTGCCCTCACTTTCAAATATACATGCAGACAAAACAAGCACCAATAAAACATTCATTTTTGACATGAGTTAATACCCAGAGTAAGTTCAAGCGAATACATACGTCTATGCTTTGATGGTTAAACTAACACGTTAATCTTAACCTCTGTGCAACAGAACAGTTGCCTGAAACATGAAATGTAGTTTACACTGTAACACAAGCAGAGCTAAGAAATGTGTTTACATGCTGTTAATTTAATTGACCCTCTGGGTAAATGCAAAACCTTCCATCTGGTGCAGAAGACTAACCGAGTCAGCTGTGAGGACCGCTGTGCGCCATTATGGCCTCACTGAGCATATGGGCTGCATCAAGCAGCCCTGTTCTCACACGAGGTAGAGTGTCCCCTCTGAATATTTAGTAGCAGCTTCAAGCCAATTTGTTTTGTGAGACTCTTTAGGCTACAAACACAGACTCTCTGACCTCAACACTAGCATGAGGAAGTGAGAGTTCTGCTTTGTTTTAGCTCCAGGGGGCTTGTAATGTAAGAGTACAATCTGTAAACAGGTGT